TTGCGTTTCCCAATTCCTGTTGCAACTAGAGGAAGCTGGTTGCAAATTACTATTACAACATTTCCCAGGATTTCAATTTCCTTTTTAACATACACATACTTACAGATGCGGGAAGTACTTTTTTTTTTATTGTATTTACACGACTCTTACCATATTTACTCCAAAGGAAGACAACCCTTAATTATGTGGTTTTTAAAAAATTTAGTACACATGGACCACCAAGACTTCTGCAGTTTACAGTAAAAACAAATTTCAATTCAAACTCAGTACATTAAGCTTAAAATAATAAATAAAAACAAAGCAAATAAAAAACAAGTCAATAAAAATGAAATTAACAATTAGTCAGCATTAAAAGCCTGTTTTAAAAGACGTGTTGTAGGGTCTTTTAAAAAGTTATTAACGGTAGCAGGACCCACTCTGCAAATACTGCATTCCAGAACTGGACAGCAATAGAGACCGCAAGTGATTCTGCCAAAAGGAAGAAAGGGTGTGGGTGTGTGTACACACACACATGCACATACACACACACACACACACACAAATGTATAAACACAGCTTTCTCACTGTGTCAACATAGGATTGTCAATTCCGGCTGAAACCAATCCGCGATATTCCACCACAATCACATCTATAAATAAATAAATGCACATGTGACGCATTTATGTTGTTCATGTAAGTATGTGTGTATATAAATACACACCCAGCCCCCTCCCCCGAAAACTGGCAAAGCCAATTTAACTAATGTTAGTTGAATTAATGACTGCAGATTAAAACTCACTGCCTATAAAACAAGGTGCCCTATTTATAAAATGAATGGCTCACCCACCTACACACACACACCCAAGCCATTTTCTCTACCATGCACCTGCACACACAAGCCTGCAGGTACACAAGGGGCACGTTCGCATGCAGCCATGCAACTTCAACCTGTCATTTCTGTTCAGCAGCTAAGCGGACTGATTTCCGCTTCAGGTTTAGCTGCAATTCAGCAGGATCACACCAGACCCTCTTTCCAGTTGAAGCACTGGAGCTCCATGGAGTTTGCAGCAGCCATTTCCCCACTGCTAGGAAACCTTGTCTTGCCCTGTTTCGTGGCCTCTCTCCCTTCCCACTACAGGTTAAGCTACCTTCTCAACTCTTTTAGACTGAGCAGAAAGATGGGGCCTTGGTGGCTTTGCAGCCCCCTCATTACCGAGGCTAACACTTTGTTTTGCAAACTACCAAATGCCAAGTATAATATGCATTCAAAATCTGGAGATGAGTGGCAGCATCCAGATGCCACTTCCGGCCATCCTACAGGTCAACAGGAGGGTGCACTCCCACTTTGTGTGGTGTTCTCTGTGTTGGTGACAGTGAGGGCAACCACAGGTTGGGTTGAAACCATTTCTGAGGGTTTGAGAAGCAGGAACAATGGCAGTGCAGAAGGGACCACAGATTCATTACATCCTACTCCCAATTCCCAGCAGAAACAGCAAAAAAGAAGAGAAAAGCAGGTCAGTTTGATAGAAGGTGAGGCCCTATGCAAGTGTGGGGGCAGGGGCTCGAAATCCACTTGCAAAGATCCAAAGACAGAATGGACCTCTCTCATGGAAGGGGGATCCTCAGATTGCATGTTTTAAAAACAAGGGAAACAAGAAAATACTGGATCTCTATTAGTTAAACTTTAGGACGGAGAAGAGACAGCAAAAAGAAATAAAGGTAATAAAAGAGCTAAGCTGCAAAGCAACAGAAGATCAAAAGGAACTGAGTTGCAATTAGAGAGGGAAAAGAACAAAGAAATGTAAAGGGACAAAGTTTAAAAGGGGCACAAATAGGAAGCCACTGTCTTTAGCATGGGGAAAAACCAAAGTATTTTGTATATACTGTATGTGTATAGTACAGCCCTTTTGGAATAAAAACCTGATCTCTGCCTGGCTACCGTCATCCTTCTTAAAAAAGAAACACTAGAAGGGCAAGGAGTACAGAAGGAGTCCCCAGGAAAAAGCTTGAGGCAGCCTTGCTCAGCCTGAGGTCTTCTAACTGTGTTTGACTACAAATTCTGTCACTCAAGTCAATATGGCCAAATATTGTACAAGGCTCGATTACAGAAGAAACAGAGAAACAATGGGTCACCGAGATCTCAATTCTGAAGTGGCTCTCATAATGTATGCATGCGCGCACGCATACACACACACACCAACAGCTGATACATCTTTGGCTCAAAATGGATAAGCGAAGTTGCCTGGCTTTTTGAGAGTCAAGGCCCATTCATCTGTCTGGGTTAAAGTTAAGCCCAACTCTCTTGAGGGAGAGATTTCAGACCTTCATATTAAAAGGCAGCCTCCTGTTTGAAATACCAGGCCAGGGGAAAGCTGGCCAGAGAGCCACAAAAATGCACCAAGTTGAACCATTGCCAAAGGTTACATTTAAAAGAGTTACTATATAAGGCCATTACAGGAGAACAAAGCATTTGTGCAACAACACACCATAAATTGAAACTTATCAGTAAACTTTCTTGACTGAACATTGCAAAGCGAGCGGAAGAACCAATACCACCTTTGCTTCCTGGATTAAATATAGAGCCTTCTTCTTCTTATGAACTCACTTGCCAGGCACTTCCGGATTACAAGCCACATCTCTTGTCATGAAAGAACTGCAGAGCAAAATGTATGATGGCTTTGCAAGCAAGAGCCAACAGCGTGTAACTCAGCATCTCCAAACACGGCACCTCTCATATCTACTGAGCGAGTCTCAACATCATCATGTATTTGACGCATTCTACGCATTTTATATATTTTATTGTAAGCTGCCTAGAGTCACATAAAAGTGAGATCGTGGTTATATAAATCAAAGGAAGGAAGGAAGGAAGGAAGGAAGGAAGGAAGGAGCAGAACAAGCAACTTTTGACAATTAGCAAAATATGCTGAGCATCAATTCATTTCAGAGTATCATTTGATTTCACTTTGTCCTGGCAAACAGTTCAAAAGGTTTTGGCAGCCATCGTTACCATAAATCATGATGTTTCCCCATTTGCAAAATCAGCATAACGTGTAGCATCTGTTCTTCCCGCAAAACAATAGACAGAGTTCAGATTTAAGATAAAATCTACAGTACAGCTGGACCTCTCCCCATCCCACACAAACACCTACCTTAACTTAATTTGGCCACTGAAAATCTTAAATGCAATGGGTGAAAC